CGATAAATATTTAATCATCTAATTTGCACGATATATCTTGAACAGGTTGCTCGACACAATACAAATGATATATCTGTATTGATGTTGGAGGGTGAAACGCACGACGAAACGAATTTTTCCTCTCTTTTATTTTAGTTTCTCGCGACGCGTGTATTTCGACTGAATTTTTTTTTTTTTGGTCAAAGTGCGTTACCACCGGAAATAAAGCGACGGAGAAAAGTGGAGAACCGCTCGTGCTTCGCGCAATTTCGGTCGCAGAGAAGCGAGATAACGAGATCGCAATAGTCGTAGCACAGTTTGTTTCTCTTTTTTCTTTTTCTTTTTTTTTTGCATCTTCTCTTATTCTTTTTTTCTCTTTTTAAACGTTTGTCGCACGATTTTTGCTGGTGCCACATCGTTGGGTTCGTCCAAGCACCAGCCCGGTATTTTTCACGTTTTTTTATTTTCTTATTTTTTATTTTCTCCTATTTGGTTCTCTCGCAGAGTAATTTACCTAAGATTAGAGGTATGTTTAGCCTCGACCCACTCGAGAATGCCCTGCCAATTGCTTCTTTTTTTTTTTTTTTATCGCAGTAAATTCCGTTCGAGCAAACGAAACGATCGAACGCATCGATATATTCATATTTCTTCACGTAAAACGAAATATGCGTATGGACACAGCGTGTTCCTTATTTATTTATTTATTTATTTATTTACTTATTCCTTTGGTGGCTTTTAAACACATGCTTCACGATGCTTATCTTCACGCAAAACATTTACGGCAATTTCGCGTCTTTTCTATTGAATACTGCTAGGCAGATTCGCACGTATACACACTGCCGCTCGACAATATCCGGATACATATTTACATCCTCGATAATTTAATATAATTTAATTATTTTAATTACAGAATCACACAAAGAAACTGCGGATGAGTGGTCTGTCAGCAAAGATCTAGAGAATTCGAATCTAATCATTATTTTTTGAATACTTTAAAGCATCGTTCTTCCAATCTCATTCTCGTTCTCATTCAGAAAAAAAAAAAAAGAAAAAATATGCACAGACCTTTTATAAAATTTCGAAGAGAACTTTCTGGGAATGATTATCTAATTTCCATTTTTCAAAATTTTTCGTTGCTAATTCAAATTAAATGAAAACCTGAATTGAACTTTAATCTTGATGCATTGTTTGACTTGATTTTAATACGTTTTAATTTCCAAAGAAAGAACTAAAATTTATAAAAAAAAAAAACGATATTTTATTATTTTTAGTCATTGAGTTTTCATTAATTTTATATATTTTGCTAACGTCAGTGTTATAAAATGGTCAAGCTCGGATACTACGAGCGGTGGTTGTATACGTGAGTAATTATGGTAATTCTAGGTTAATTATCCTTCCATCTTTTTCTTTAAAATCTCGAACGATCCGTTTTAAAATTTGAATTAGTTTGTTTCGCCGTTGATATGTAATTAAATCGATAATAAGAAGTTGTCGATAAAATGTATAACGAAACGAATAAGAAGTGAGTTTAACATTGCGCTTACTTTTGTAAACTAACTTTGTTCGTACTTGAAAAAAAAAAAACAAATTTACTGATACGTAAAGTACCTAAATCGTAATGGAGTATCGTGGAATACCGAATTGTCAATTCGAGGCATCGAACTGTTCGACTCTAAGCTCGACATTTTTTCGTTTTCTGTGTTCGATGAATCTTTCTAGCTTTTACTCGCATCCGACATTACGAACATCCGTCCGAATCTTTGTAAAAAATCCTATCGTCGAACCAATGATTCGTAAATGGTTAAAAAATTTAAGCCGTAAAAAATCATCTGATACACCAACTCCGCTCTTTCTCTTGTCCGTAAAAAGTGACAAAACTTCGAAACGAATTACAATTGATGTGAAATGTTGCACTTCACTTTGTTCTTTCTTTTTTACCATTCTATTTCTTACTGAGAAGATACTCAAACAGATAGTCGATGGAAATTTTTGCAACGATCTCGTAATGTCATTGAAGAAGTAACGTGAGAAAGTTGCACTCGCTAAACAAATTTCACGCCATTTGGAAAACCATATTTTTATGAATTTTACAACGAATCCAAGATGCACGAAAGATGTCATCTGAATTTTGTAACCATTACGGACAACGAATCT